ACCACCGATCCGCTCAGCAGTCCGCATCGGCTTCCGTCCGTCCGTACGGGCGGCGCGGTCAGGCGGCATCCTCTGCCGGCGCCCCGCGCACGCATCACCGCCGGCCATCGTATCCATCCGTGCGTCCGTAAGCGGCGGGCGGCGGCGCGGCGCGGCGAGCGGCATCCTCTTGTCCGCACTCCCTGCACGCTCACTCCCAATCGCTTTTCCCCGTCGCGTCCGTACGGGCGCGGCGGCCAGGCGCATCCCATGACTTCTCGCGCCCGTCGACGCTCACAGGGTCCCAGCATCTCGCTATACGTCCGTCCGTACGCGGCGGCAGCGGGCGGCGCATCCTCTGTCCGCGCCAACGCTGCACGTCCCGTCCGCGCACTCGCTTCCGTCCGTCCGTACGGGCGAGGCGCGCGCATCCTCTGTCCGCGCCGCTCCGCACGCTCATTCCGGCTATCGCCTTCCGTTCGTGTCCGTACTGACGCGCGGCAGGCGGCGGCCAATCCATCTGTCCGCTACCCCCGGACGCTCAACGTCCGCAATCGCTATCCAGTACGCGTAGACGGCGGCGCGGCGGCGCATGCCTCTAGTCCGCGCCGGAATCCGCACGCTCACAGTCCGCATCACTTCGATCGTCCGTCCGTACGTGGCGGCGGCGGCGGCATTCCTCTGTCCGACACCCGGCTGCACGGCTCACGTCCGCATCGCTTCATCCGTCGTACGGGCGGCGCGCGGCGACAGGCACATCTGGTCCCGCACCCACGCGCACGGCTCACTGGTCCGCATCGCTTCCATTCCGTCGCGTACGGGCGGCGGCGGCGGCGACGGCTATCCTCTGTCCGCACCCCCAGCCGCACGCTCACGTCCGCAATCGCTTCAAAATCACGTCCGACCGGGGGGCAGCGGCGGCGGGCGGCATCCTCTGTCCGCGCCCCGCACGTCTCACCGTTCCCGCCACTCCGCATCGCTTCCGTCTCGTCCGTAGCGGGCGGCGGCCGGCCGGCATCCTCTTCCGCACCCACTGCACGGCTCACGCCCGTTCCGCATCGCTTTCCGTCCGTCCGTCTGTAAGGGCGGCGGCGCGGCGGACGGCATCTCTCATGTTCGCGCCCCCGCACCCCTCTCTCTCTTTCCCTCTCTTTCCCTTTCTTTTCCTTTCTTTCCCCCCCTCTCGCTCTTTCCCTTTCTTTCCCTCTCTCTCTCTCTCTCGCTCTCTCTTTCCCTTTCTTTCCCCCTCTCTCTCTTTCCCTCTCTTTCCCTTTCTTTTCCTTTCTTTCCCCCCTCTCGCTCTTTCCCTTTCTTTCCCTCTCTGTCTCTTTCTCTCCCCCTTTCCTTCTTCAGCGCTTGCCTCTATAATGTGACTCTCTCTCTCTCGCAGGTGCATAGCTCACTGTCAGATCTTCATTGCATTTCAGCTGTTCTCTCTTTCACGCGTGCTCTCTCTCTCTTCCTCCTTTCACTCCTCAGTGCTTGCCTCTATATTCTGACTCTCTCTCTCTCTCTCTCTCTCTCGCAGGTACATAGCTCACTGTCAGATCTTCATTGCATTTCAGCTGTTCTCTCTCTCTCTCGCATGTCCCTTCTCTCTCCCTCCTTTCCCTCTTTAGCGCTTGCCTCTCTAATCTGACTCTCTCTCTCTCTCATCCTCGCAGGTACATAGCCGACTGTCAGATCTTCAGCGCGTGTCAGCTGTTCTCTCTCTCGCACGTGCACTTCCTCTCTCTCCCTCCTTTCCCTCTTCAGTGGTTACCTCTCTAGTCTGACTCTCTCTCTCTCTTTCTCCCTCCTTTCCCTCTTTAGCGCTTGCCTCTCTAATCTTTCTCTCTCTCTCTCTCATCCTCGCAGGTACATAGCCGACTGTCAGATCTTCAGCGCGTGTCAGCTGTTCATTGAGGAGGCGGGCCGCGAGGTGCTGCGTCGCCGCCTCTACCGCAACTTCGTCGTCCACCTCACGAACCTGTGCGACTTCGGCCTGCTGAAGAGCTACCAGATACTCACCGTCCTGCGGCAGCTCGATCGCTTGAAAGATCCGCCGCCGACGCCGCCGACGCAAGAGCCGCGGGAGGTGGCGCCACCGGAGCCCAGCTGAGTCGGCGGGCGGCGACGCGGGGGTGGGAGGGGGTGAGGTGGGTCGTCGGCGACGGTCTAGGATGATCGATGGGCGGGGTGTTGTTATGTGCGGGTGATGGAAGTAGATTGACCATCAATCATCCATCGACCATCTGTCGATCGTCTGTAGGTTGACCGTCAATCGTCTGTAGATCGTCTGTAGATCACCTGTCGATCATTCGTCGATCATCTGTAGATCGACGGTCGGTGATCTGTCGATCGTTTGTAGATCGTCTGTAGATCTTCTGTAGGATGGCCGTAGATCTGTGTTGCCAATGGCAACCGGACAGCGCATTCCGTAGCGGACGGTGGTCATCGCGAGCGCGCGGCGCGTCTGAGCAGTGCTGATGAGCAGACTGGTGCCTTACAGGTGGTTCTGTACAGCTGCTGCCCCATCGACAGTCCACTCTGCTGGTTCACGGGTATAGGTGGCAGACTAGGGCCCCGGGAGAGAGAGAGAGAGAGAGCGAGAGCGAGTGAGAGAGAGAGAGCGAGAGAGACCTCAAAAATGCCTACCTACCTACCCAAACTTTTCAGCCTGGGTCGGGTGAGGGCAAACAAAGATTTTTTTAATTGTGGCCCGGCCGCTGTGTCGTCGTCGTGAGAACGAAGTTGGTGGCATCTCGCGAGAGAGACGGGGATTGCAGGAGCGCGCGTTCGGCTGGTAGTTGTGTGTGAATTGTAGAAGGATGGGGGGGGGGCGTCAGCTTGTGTTGCTGGACGTGGGAAATCCGATACGTGGAGTCACTGGGAACCGGGTTCGCATCAACGTATTAGCCAGCGAGCCATGCAGCCGTGATTTGCACGGTCAATTTTGAAACTGCACGGCCAAAAATCTGTAGCACGGCCTAAAATATTACGGCTGAGACACGCATACAAAAAAATTGCACTCCCAAATATTTTTTCTGCACTCCTACAATACTCATTCCTGGCTAAGTCTATGGTTCGCGTGTGCACTGGGCGTGGCACTTGTAAAAAAAACAATGAGGTGGGTGGCCGATGACCGGCTGACTTGCTGACCAGCTTGCTTGTTGACCACAACGCAATCGTGTCGATGTGCGGCAGCGTTTCCGGTAAGTAACGGTTCTTCCCCCCGGATCTCGTCGTTGCAGAAGGCGTCAGGGGGAGAGCGAGCCGGACAAGCGCAAAAGCCGAGGCGGAGGCGACGCCGCCACCACCCCCGCCCGGCGTCGCCGTGACGACGGAGCCCGTCAAGCGTCTGCGTATCTTCTACCACTTCCTGTACGGCAGCAACATGCGGCAGCAGACGGAGGCGCGCGACGACCTGCACTGCCCCTGGTGCTCGCTCAACTGCATGCAGCTGTACAGCCTACTGAAGCACCTCAAGCTCTGCCACAGCCGCTTCACATTCACCTACGTGGTGAGCGGCTAAGAGGGCGTGTGTGTGCGTGCCTGTGTGTGCGTGCGTTTGTGTGTGCGTGTGTGGTTGGGGGGGGGGAGCATGCGTGCGTGTGTGTGTTCACACAGCCGCATGCATGTAGACCACCATGCTAATTTGTAATAAAGACCCCCCGGCAAAAAAAAATTCCTCAAAAATGCCTCCTACCTACCACTTTTCAGCCTGGGTCGGAGGTGAGGGCAAAGCAAAAGTTTTTTATTTTGCGCCGGCCGCTGTGTCGATCGGTCGTGAGAACGAAAGTTAGTGGCATCTCGCGAGAGGGACGGGGATTGTTGCGGTGAATTGTAGAAGATGGGGGGGGCGGCGTCAGCTTGTGTTGCCTGAGACGTATGGGAAATCCCGATACGTGGCCAGTCACTGGGACCGGGTTTACGCATAACTTTCTTAGCCAGGGCCATGCAGCGTGATTTGACACGCAGTCAATTTGTAAACTGCCAAGCGCCAAAAATCTGTAGCACGCCTAAAATATTACGGCTGGAACAGCGGCTACAAAAAATGCACTCCCAAATATTTTTTCTGCACTCCTACAATGACTCATTTCCTGGCTAAGTCTATGGTTCGCGTGTTGCACTGGCGTCGGCTACTTGGTAAAAAAAACATGAGGTGGGTGGCGTGATGACCGGCTGACTGCTGAACCATTGCTTGTGACTCACAACGCAATCGTGCTCGATGTGCAGGCGCCGTTTCCGGTAAGTACGTTCTTCCCCCGGATCTTTCGTCCTTGACAGGAAGCGCGTCAGGGGAGAGAGCGACCCGAACAAGCGCAAACCGGGCGGAGCGAACGCCGCCACCACCTCCGCCCGATCCCGTCGGCCTCCCCCCAAGCCGTTTTGTCGCCACACTTAGTCCCGCGTCGCCGTGACGACGGAGCCGTCAAGCGTTGCGTATCTTCTACACTTCCTGTTTTTTTCTCTTTAGCAACATGCGGGCCAGCAGACGGAAACGCCGCGCGACGACTGCATGCCCCTGGCTGCTCGCTCAATGGCATGCAGCTGTACAGCCCTATGAAGCCACTCAAGTCGCGCACAGCCGCCTTCACATTCACCTACGTGCCTTTTTTTTTTTTTTAGCCCGTTCTAAGAGGGCGTGTGGTGCGTGCCTGGTGTGCGTGCGTTTGTGTGTGACGTGTGCTGATGATGGGGTTTTATGGAGCTTGCGTTGCGATGTGTGTGCATGTGTAGCGTGTGTGTGGATGTTGGTGTGCGTGTGTGCGTGGTCGTGCGCACTGGTGTGTTCTTGTGCACGTGGGCGTGCGTGTGCATGTGTTATGCCTGTGCCGTGTGTCGTGTTGTGTGTGTGTGTGTGCGAATCCATAACTGTCCTTCTCTCATTCTCTCGCTCTGGTTTGTCGTGCAGCCGCATGCGAAGGGAGCACGCATCGAGGTGGCGATCAACGACTGCTACGACGGCTCGTACACGGGCAACCCTCAGACGCTCGTCGACACACAGCGGCTACTGGCGTACCGCAGGAACGGCCCCAGTGCGCCGCAGGAGGTCAACAGCTGCTCGTATCAGTGTGAGTCAGCGAGTCACACAGTGGCTCGTTATGAGGTGAGGTGCAGCGAAGTTCACGCAGTGCTCGTTATCATGTGAGATGCTCTGCTTTGATTTTTGCGTTCACAGTGGCCTGGTTTTATCAGGTGAGTTGTTCATTTTTTCGAGGTATCACCCGCTGATGTTTCTGTCTCAGGAGGTGTCAGCGAGTTTTTCACCTTGTTCGTTAATCTAGGTGATGCAGCGAGTCACGCATTCTGCTCTCTGTATCAGTTGAGTTGCTTTAGCGATTTTTGGGGGCATCCCATGTTTTCTGTCGTTTCAGGTGAGGTGCGGCCGAGGTCCACCTAGCTGGCTCGTCTATCCAGTGCAGTGCAGCGACAGGTCACGCAGTTTTCTTCTTTTTTTTATTGTGTGGTTGATGACAAGGTGGAGTGGTGTATGACTTCTTTTTTTTTTTTTGTGAGTGTATGAGAATTATTTAGTTTGCGGTTCATGAGGCGAGAGGGTGGCGTGGATATGTGCGTGCGTACGTGGGTTGTGTGTGTGCATTGGTGTGGTCGGTGTGCTTGCGTTCTTGCTGTTTGGGTTTGTGTGTGTGTGTTTATATATATTGTCTTATTGTACTGTCGTGATATGGCTGTTGGAAACCAATGCTATGCTTGTTTTGTATCGATCTGGAGGATTTACAGGCTTCTAATAGGTATTTACATTTTTGTCTGAAGCCGTGTTGTATTTTTTATTTGTGTGTTAAGGAGTCCCGGACACACGGTGACTTACGACGGACAGTCAGCGGTACATCTTAGGATCCTTATATAAAGACGTTATTTTAATGATAAATTTTATATAAGGGAATTGTCATTTTTTTTTTTGTCGCAATAGTCCGTCACACCATGTCAAAAATCTTGTTCTAAAAGTAATAAATTTCTATAGTTTATAAAGTAGTTTGTTACTTTACTGTGCAGTAATACTATAATTAGCTACCAAGCCGCTGACACGGCCTGCAATGATTCAGATTCAACGATTACATCTCCAGCCGCGGTCTTCGAGTATATTAATTATTATTTTTTACCTGCGTGTTGTTTTTTTTTTTCCCACGTTTAATTAATCTTGTCGTTGGCAGATTATATTATCACACTGACAGCAACCGTCCTGTGCGAGCTAACGAGGAGGAGGTGGACAGCGATGATGAGGTGGATCCAGACTGGCTACGCACCAAAACTATACACGTAAGCTACGCACCAAAACTATACACGTAAGCTATGCACCAAAACCATACACGTAAGATACCCGCCAAAACTACACACGTAAGCTACGCGCCAAAACTACACACGTAGATACGCCGCCCAAGAACTACACACGTAAGCTAGGCACCAAACTACAACGTAAGCTCCGCCCAAAAACTACCACGTAAAGATACGCGCCAACACCTACACACGTAGCTTACGCGCCAAACACATACACGTAAGCTATCGCTGATTCCTAATATTGGAAACTATCATCTACTTAAGCTATCGGCGCCAGTAAACCATACTTACGTAGGTGCTTACTTGCCACAAAACTACAGCTACTGTTAAGCTATCTGCCTGCCGTCATTTTAACTACACACGTAAGCTACGCGCCAAAACTACACACGTAAGCTACGCGCCAAAACTACACACGTAAGCTACGCGCCAAAACTATACACGTAAGCTACGCACCAAAACTACATACGTAAGCTACGCACCAAAACTATACATAAGCTACGCGCCAAAGCTACAAACGTAAGCTACGCCCCACCAAAACTATACAACGTAAGCTAAGCATAGCGCCGCTATAATACTCACACGTTAATTGTGAGCGGCGCCGAGTAGCTGAGGCGAGCGGTTAAGCTACGCACCATAATGGGTTACGTTAAGCTACGCACCAAAACCACACACGTAAGCTACGCACCAAACTATACACGTAAGCTACGCACCACACTACACCCGTAAGCTACGCACCAAAACCACACGCGTAAGCTACGCACCAAAACTTACACACAATAAAGCTACGCACCAATAACTATAAACGTAAGCTACCGCCTAAAAACTACCACACAGTAGCTATGCACCTAAAAACTTAACACGTAGACACGCGCACGTCATTTGCCAGCGCAGTCAGCGATAACGTTGGTCCCTGTTAGTCTTGATCATCTTGAACCTTCAGTTCGATATGCTCTCGACTTTGGGTTTCGGTCAGCTGTCTGCTGACTGCCGGTGACCTGTACTAATGGACCTGCGGTGACCTGTCTGTGACCTGGCCGGTGACCTTGTCTGTGGACCTGCCGATCAGATACATACCCCTTGATAGGCGGGACACTTGGTGATTTCGTTTTTAGAACTCGAATTGGGACGTATCTTAATGTACAGTTGCTTAATTAATCCCGATTCTGAAATAAGGTGGTGTTTCCATTTCGTTCGCGGGTTGGGTGGGGGGGGCGATCTGTTAACTGATTGCATTTTTTTCCAGTTGTCGTTCATGTGCCCCGATCATTCTATGCTTAAGCTTAATTACTCGTTGTCCGTCCTATAGTCACCTCTTAGAATAGATCCTTAGGTTGAAAATTGTCTGTAATGAGTCTGTCACACGTCGCCTTTTTTGCATATATATATATATATATATAAATTAATGTAGAAAAATACAATAATGTGTTAGCATGTAACACCTTATTCTGGTTTTCTACATTTATTTTCGTATCTACATGGGTGTCTGTGTGCTTTTACTTTATATGTATATGTTTATTTATATATATATGTATATATTTATATATATTATATATATATATAAGTAAAAATACACGGACACCCATGAAGAGGAGATAAGTATAATTTAAAAATAGACATATGGTGTCAAAATTTTCATTACTTGACTGTCCGAGACATATGTCTCTTCGTCAGACGACAACACAGATGGAAACACGTTATTTTTGAATACAATGATGACCATGATGAGCACATACCTGCGTACCATGTATATGCGCGGTTCATATTTATCTTATATATATATGTATGTATGCAGCACGCACGCGCGCACTCATCTATGTATATATATCTACATCCGTCGCTTGCTGTCGTCTGCAGATGATTGATGAGTTTAGCGACGTGAACGAGGGTGAGAAGGAACTCACGAAGCTGTGGAACCTCCACATACTGAAGCACCAGTAAGTGTATGCAGGCTCTCTCTTCTACACACACACACAACTCTCTTCTCTCTCTCGTTCTCTGTCTTTTTCCCTTTCTTTCCCTCTCTCTCTCTTTCTCGCCTCTCTCTTTCCCTTTCTTTCCCCTCTCTCTCTTTCCCTCTCTTTCCCTTTCTTTCCTTTTTCCCCTCATCGCTCTTTCCCTTTTCTTTCCCTCTCTCTCTCTCTCTCGCTCTCTTTATCATTTCTTTCCCCCTCCTGCTCTTTCCCTCTCTTCCTTCTTTTCTTTCTTTCCCCCCTCTCGCTCTTTCGCTTTCTTCCCTCTCTGTCTCTTCTCTCCCCTCTTCTTCGCGCTTGCCTCATAATTGTGGACTCTCTCCTCTCGAGGTGCATAAGTTCACGTCAGATCTTATTGCATTTCAGCTGTCTCTCTTTCACGCAGTGCTCCTCTCTCTTCTCCTTTCACTCCCAGTGTTGCCTCTATATTCTGACTCCTCTCTCTCTCATCTCTCTCTCGCACAAGGTACATTAGCTCACTGTCAGAGCTTCATTGCATTTCAGCTGTTCTCTCTCTCTCTCGGCATGTCCTTCCTCTCCCTTCCTTTCCCTCTTTAGCGCTTGCCTCTATAATCTGACTCTCTTCTCTCTCTTCATCCTGCAGGTACATAGCGAACTGTCGATCTTCAGCGGTGTCAGCTGTTTCTCTCTCTCGCACGGCCCACTTCTCTCCTCTCCCTCCATTTCCCTCTCAAGTGATTGACTCTCTAGTCGGACTCTCTCTCTCTCTCTTTCTCCTTTTCTCCTTAGCGCTTGCCTCTCTAATCTTTCTCTCTTCTTTCTTCCTTTTTCTTAATCCTATCATCCTCGAGTACATAGCGACTGTCGATCTTCAGCGCGTGAGCTTGTTCATTGAGGAGGCGGGCGCGAGGTGCTGCGTCGCCGCCTCTTTACCGCAAACTTACGTCGTTCCACCTCAACGAACTGTGCGACTTCGGCTGCTGAAGAGCTACAGATACTCACCGTCCTGCGGCAGCTCAGATCGCTTGAAGATTCCGCCGCCGACGCCACCGCCGACGACCAAGAGCCGCGGAGCCCGTGGGCCACGGGAGCCAGCTGACGAGCGGCGGCGACGCGGGGGAGGGTGAGGTGGGGTCGTCGGCCACGGCTTTAGATTGATCGATGGGCGGTGTTGTTATGTGCGAGGTGAGGGAAGTTAGAATTGACCATCATCTTCCATCGACCATCTGTCATGTTGTAGCGTTGACCTCAATCGGTCTGACTAGATGGTCTGTAGATCACTGTCGACTCATTCGTCGATCATCTGTCGATCGACGGTCCGGTGATCTGTCGATGTTGTGATCGTCTGCTAGATCTCTGTGAGATGGGCCGTAGATCTGTGTTGCAATGGCAATCCGGCAGCGCATTTCGTCGGACGGTGGTCATCGCGATAGCGCGGCGAGCCGGGCGTCTGTAGCAGTGATGAGCAGGACTGGTGCCTTACAGGTGGTTCTGTACGCTGCTGCCCCATCGACAGTCAACTCTGTGAGTTCACGGGTATAGGTGGCAGACTAGCGCGGATGAGAGGAGAGAGAGAGAGCTAGAGCAGCGAAGTGTAAGAGAGAGGGGGAGAGAGCGACATGAGAGCTGAGAGGAGAGAAGAGAGATAGAGAGAGAGAGGAGAGAGAGACGAGAGGGGGAGAGAGAAGAGAAGGAGAGCCGGGAGCGACGGGGAGGGAAGAGAAGAGATGAGATGAGAAGGAGTGGAGAGAGGAGAGAGAGAAGAGAGAAGAGAAGAGAGATGGAGAGGAGGAGAGAGAGAGACGAGAGTTCAGAGAGAGAGAGAGAGGAAGAGAGAGAGGAGAGGACTAGCGAGACGACGAGAGGAGAGAATGAAGACCAGCG